ACAGAGGTCTTCCTCCCTGGATGTGGCACACTTACTCACATAACCCGCTACATGGGGCAAATGTAGGAAGCACGACCTGCCAGTAGCCCCTCATCTTCATGTACTCACAGGTGCATTCATACACATATACCCACAGATTCTCAGCTAGGTTTCCAGTTCTGATTATCACCAGGCACCTAATTAAAGTGTGCATGAGATTGTGTGCTTGTTGGCACAAATCAGTGTGTGTGGGTGTGGGGGCTTTAGGGAGGATTAATGGGGAATATTGTATGTGGATTTGTGTGCATTGCATTCATGAAAGCGTTTCTCTCTGATTATGATTTCCACTGCTTATCTCTGCCTAAATGTAATAGGCTCTGTGAATATTGCATGCTGCGGCAGTTTTTCAAAAGATATTGAAAATGAGCCTCCAAATCTTTGGGACCCTCCATGTTCAATCTCCATTGAACATGGAGGGTGGGTCCACTTGAGTCAGCTATGTGAGGCTGAGTGTGGTAGTGCCTGAGGTCGGATGTGACAGGCCTCACTCAATCTGGTGGATTTTAATTACAGCATTAGAAAGCTGTCACCAGGCACCAGCATCCAGCTCAAATTACAGCAGTCATTAATTCCTGGAAGTCAGTAGACAGTCCAGCCCTGAAGCCATTCAGCACCAATTAGTGAGCTAATGAAAGGCAGCAACTCATTAGCTATCTGATGGCCACACCTAATCAACAAGATGATTGGGTGTTTCATATTTTTAAGTTTTATAGTCCCTTATAGGGGCCTGGAGCCATATGATGCATATAATTGCTCAAGACTGAAGGAGTGGGCGCATGATGAGAGAGCTGCAAATCATCTGGAAATCTGGATGGGGAAGGTGAATGAGCAACAATGCCATCCCTTGCAATTGCTATTATGATGCCATTGAGCAAAGTACTTGTCCTCCACTTGTTCCAGTGCAGCTGCTCATAAAGCAGCAGCAAAAGATTGGAGTTGAACAGGTAGACTCCTCCTCCTGTGTGTCTCCTAAAACCAAGACAGCAGTGAAGCATTTTTTGTTTTCCAAAGGTACAGGTTTAAATAAACACATATATTAAAATGAGAATCCTTGTGATCCTGTAGTGTATTTTGTAAAGGCGTTGTTGAAAGCAGAAATTATAAGAAGTCCTACGCATTACAGGTTCATGTACAGATTTTTTTTATGGCTATAGAGCTTCAGTCATTTCTTCTTCTTCTTCTACTACTTTCAGCTGTTCCTGTTAGGGGTCGCCACAGCAAATCATCAGTTGCCAATCAACTGATGATTTGCATACTAAACTTGGCATGTTTTACGCCGGATGCCCTTCTGGATGAAGTCTAATTTAGAGTCACCAATCAACCTAACCTGCATGTCTTTGGACTGTGGGAGGAAAGCGGAGTACCCGGAGAAAACCCACACAGGCGCATGGAGAACATGCAAACTCTGCACAGAAAGACATCGGGTCGGCCAGGGCTCGAACCCAGAAGCTTTCGCTGTGGGGCATAGAGCTTAAGTCATTTAATCATGCGAAAAGAATGGCTCAAGAAATGGCAATGACAGTGTTGGTCTGTCAGTTGGTCCACTACTTTGGTCTAGACTGAGGGCTTTCAACATCTATAGGATGGATTGGCCTGAAATTTTCTGCAGACATTAGTGGTCCCCAGAGGATAACTTCAATTGACTTGAGTAAACCCATGACCTTTCCTTTAACTCCGATTTAGAGTGAAATGTATTGACAGACATTAATTACTGCCTCATTAATTTGTAATCACTTTGGCCCTATCATCAGGTTAAATTTTTAATTTGAGAAAAAAGAGGAGAATATGTTAGTCAATAATTCCAAAGTTGTCACATTTAAATATTGTTAGCTCGGTTGCTAACATTAGCCATGGGCACACCAACATACAGGAGGTACCTAGTTTTGTTTATAGTTGAACAGAGGTGTGAACCATGTTGAGACTTCACTAGTGCTGTGTGCAGCCATCGAGGCAAAACTAGAAGCTGGATGGTCAATAAATTCCTCCAAATTGTAGGAGTGCCTAGTTAAACCACAGTGTCTGGTTTTTGCTTTCTACGTGTTTTAAGTTGTTTCTGTTTTGTTTTGAGTTTGCAGCACCTGATGGAGCTAGAGTAACAAGTAATAGAACACATTCCTTTTCCTGATGAGTAATTAGTAAAGTTATGTGATTACTTTTTCAATGAGTAATTGAAGCAATGAGTCATTTTTCTTACAGTTTGATACTAACTTGCCCAACACCGAGCATGCTAAGATGCTGAACATCATAAAATTCTGACCTATCAAACATTGGCGTGCTGGTATTTTTGTTGTAAATTGTTAGCACACCGACACTATAGTGTTTAGTTCAAAGCACCACCATGCCTTAGTAGCCTCACAGAGCAGCTAGTGTGGATGTGGCTGTTTTGTCCCAATTAACAAATAACCAAGGAATCGAGTAACGTTGTGCAGATACATCTTGATAAATTCAAAAGTACTTTCAAAGTCATTAAGAGCATTAGATTCTTTATCTGTTCATGTGAAAATTGTACTATTAGATGGATGCTAAAGGCTGCTTTAAAGTGTTAATGAATATCAAATCAAAAACTCAGTTCGGCAGCGCTTTCAAAGACACCTTGACAGATGGTCGGCATGTGTTTGTGCTGTGCCTGGATACATGTGCTGTATAGAACAGCTCAAGGGTTCCTGGACTGTTCTGACCATGTGAACTGTATGTTCTTGTAGGAGTCGACACATATACAATATGCTTGTGTGCATGCAGGCAAACATGCAAGCAAGAAAAAAAAAGAAAATTAGATGTCCATTTCTGGTGTGATGCTGCTGTCTGTTGCTCTAAGCAGGCCCTGGGGGCATCTGGCCACGCTCTCCATTAATTTACTGACACATCGGATGGACTCTCTCTCTCTCGCTTTCTCTTTCTCTCTCTCTCTGTCTCTCTCGCTTTCACTCCTGCCTTCTTTTTTGTCACATTTTCTCTCTTGCCACGTCCCTCTTCTCTGTCCCTTGTTGTTTGTTTTTTTTTCTTCAGCGTGAACCTTCACTGACATTAATGAAAAGGAATGTCCCATGTGATTTCCTCTTGCCAACTAATACAAGACAAATGGAAGTAGAGCAGGGCAATCGAGGAGATGAGCAAGGGAATACAGAAAGAGAGATAATGCCCCACTTAGAGAAAGATAAGTGAAAAAGGGGAGATGAACAAAGACGAAAGACAGGGAGCCGGATGGGAATTGATATAATGAATGCCTGGTAAATGGACGCATAGAAAATATGATGATTTTAAGATTCAGGTGGCATCAGGTGTTAATTGTCTGTCCTTATGGGGGCCATTTTGCCCAGCAGAAGGTCTTTGTGTGCGGAGAGAAGATGGGATGCCAGACCTGTTTGGAAAACAGATGTCTTCATTAATGCACCTAATGAAGCTGTTCCACTGTTTTTGTCTGCTCCTCTTTTATTCTGAGGACATAGCAAACAGCTGGAGTGCTTAAAAAGTCAATTATCTCTCACCTGAACCAATGTGTGCTCTGTGTACAAAAAGGAGCCATCACCTCAGGCCATTCCTCCCAGTCCTTACATAATTTCTGGTAATTCTTAACAGGTAGTTGAGGCCCCAAGCACATGTGAGATTTTGGCAGACCAGAATTTACTGAATTGTTGTCACTTGTTTCATCACTCGAGTTAAAATGGGAGAAAGAATCATCAAAACCCCACTCTTATCTTTCAGAATATTGAATGAATACAGCAAAGTAGATTTTAGCATAGAACATGAATATCGATGGTGAACAGTGATGTGAGTGTGCCTTTGTATGTTCACCATTTAGTGTGTTTCATTGTTATGTATAGGAGAACAAAGCGGAGCACTAACACCCGTCAATGTTTGACAGACCCACAGGTTGCCATTAGATGTGAATGGGAGCCAGATGTTTCCTCTTAGTGACAGACATGGTGTGACTGTGTGTGTGTGTGTGTGTTAACTTGGTATTCAGCTTTTTGTTATCAGAGTGAGGAGCTCAGACAAGGATTGTGTGTGTGTGTCTTTTCAGCTTTTGCAGTGAAGAGAGCTGCCAGTTTTCCAATCTGACAACCAGATAGACACCAACTAGTTCTGGTTATCTTGGTTTAGAAAGAGTCCCCCTAAATCAGAGCAAATACACTGGAAACATTGATACAGTATAGATGTCATACATTCAGATGACTAGTGGGATTATTCACACAGGGTAATGACATGGAAATTGGCATTTTGAGACCTGAAATCTGTGAATTAACAAGCAGCAAGTACAATATGACATTAAATTTCAATTCCGTTCATCTAAATAAAGAATCATTTAAAGCTTGAGTGCAACATGAATGAAATCAGGTACCTGCTATGACAGTAAAACTAGCAACAACTTGGGTCCAAAAGACCGGGGCTTAAAACAAATGTAGCCGAGCGATCTGCCTCATTTCACTAAGTCGATCAAGAAAAATTAAATGGATTAAACAAGTGTATCGCTCAGAACATCTGTTTTAGACACAGTAAGCATTTTGTTTCCTTTTAAAATGAAGACAAATTTGAAAATGGGATAAAATATTGGAAACAACTGAAATGTGTTTCTTTGT